AACTATTTTTTTAATGGACACTTTTTCACCTTTCATACATTTTTTAAAGACACATTTTTTAAAGACACATTTTAAAGACAAATTGTTAACTTATTTGTCTGCTGTCGGGTCCAATAGAATTTTTAACTGCTTCATCCATCAATAAACCCACTTTTTTGTAGCTTAAAGTCTCAATAAATGCTGTTTTTTCCCCCACTGGGTATGAAGTTGAGTTCTGAAAGCTATGGTATGTGTTCATAGCACACTCTTTTATCCCTAGAAGATCAAGGACAATTTGATTCCTCTTGATATGACTGCTTTCGAGATGGTTTGGCATCATGAAAGTGTGTTAAGTCCATTCACTCTTGCTCTGTTCTGTTACAGGCCCTGGCCATGAGCAGCCAGATCCTGGTGGAAAAGTCCCTGCTGGGCTGGAAGGAAGTGGAATATGAGGTGGTTAGAGATGTTGCTGATAACTGCGTCACTGTCTGCAATATGGAGAACTTTGACCCTCTGGGTATCCATACAGGTACCATACTGTCTATGTAGAACATGATCTTGCTTGCAGGTTAGTGATGTTATGCTCAATGTTTTGTTACATTATTCTGAAAATAAAGAGGGCAGGTTTATTTTTTGTGTTATTTAAAAAAAGAAAGAAAAATATTATATATATTAGATTTTTTTTTTTAAGTACACATTTTAAATCTATTATAATATTTGAAATATGTTTACATTTAAGCCTTTAATGAAATATATTTATATTAATATAACATTATATGGTTAGTTTAGGTTGTCAAATGGAATTAATTTTCCATTCAGAAAACTCTACTTATATTGATATATTGAATAAAAAAAGAAATTAAAAATGAAATCATTTTGAAAATATTGATCAAGACTTGCATGTATTCAGGGTGTAAGGAAAGCATTTTAGTACTTTTTTACCTAAATGGTTACATTAATTGACTGTTTTTAATGTAGTCATTAAATCAAAACTGTTTGAGAAGTTCGTTCCTATTTTTTTTTAATGAAATCAAAAATTATATTTTTAAGAACGTGGTACATGCGTTAAACAAGATTTTTTTTCTCCTTTTCATCGTCTTTGACATTGACCCCTGCATACACGCATCCATATTCATAACCCATAAAGCCATGTGAATTTAAACCAGTTACATCGCATGAGGACATGCATTGTAAATTCTCAAGAGCTTCAGTTAATAGCCCTTTCTGGCCATCCCAAAGGTGACTCCATCGTGGTTGCACCCAGCCAGACTCTGTCCAATGAGGAATACCACATGCTGAGAGAGACTGCTATTAAAGTAGTGCGTCATCTGGGCATTGTGGGAGAGTGCAATATCCAGTATGCCCTGCATCCGTCCTCTCTGGAGTACTGTATCATTGAGGTGAATGCCCGCCTCTCCAGAAGCTCAGCACTGGCGTCCAAAGCCACAGGGTGAGATGATATGTCAGTATTTTTAAAGTACTGCATATAGGTATGCAAGCATTATGGGTGCTTAGTTATGTCTTTAGGGACCTCACTGCATTGTATTTGAGTTAATTTAACACTGTATAGATACAGATTTAAGAGTAAATTCTTTGGCTTGGTTAGAGTTTTACCTGCAAAACAGACGTTTCTCTGTGATCAGCTAAAGGTGTCAGTTTCACACCGTCGTTGGTTTTGCTTTTTTTGTCACCAAAATATTGAGAACTGACTGCAGCCAAAGTTCTGTGTATGTTGAGAGCCAGACTCTAAAAAACACCCACCCACCACTCTGGTCTGTTCAGTGTGAAATGAATCTATATCCTTTGAAATTATTGATGCCACACGCTCTGTAAGAAGACAAACAAATTGTGGAATAAACGGAACAGATTTTGTTGTTTTATAAAAAGATCAGTGTGAAGAGGCAAAAATAGTTTTAATACCTTGTGGAGCAATTTTTTCCCCCTAAAAATCCTTATGGAGAGTTTTTTTTGGAAAGCATTGTTCTTTAAACTAATGAGGGCAGGTTTATTACTAAATCTCAAGAGGAAAATTTAAGAAACTTTATTTAATATTATTAATTTAGGTACTTTTCTTTTTTTAACAGCTGTTAATTCTTTAATAGAAATACAAGTAGTCACAAATTAGATAATGGTTGACATACAGTAAGTGAATAGAGGTTATAAATAAATGGCATAGCTTAGATAGTTTGGTCTTGGAAATGTATTGCATTTTTGGCATCTTGACAAACTGGAACACGGTTTGAGACGCTGCTGAGATCTTTCTGAAACTCGAGAAGGAGACCCAAGTGAAATGAAATTACAAAAGTCACAATTTGCTCTCCATGAAATATCTCAACTGTTTCTCCTTGACAGCAGTGACATTTAAAAAGTTTTTCATTTGTAATGAATATAAGCTGCAGTTACTATTGTTTTATTATTGTAGAAAATGTTACTCTCCTTTCTGACTCTTTCTCACTAGGTATCCGCTAGCATTTGTAGCTGCTAAACTAGCACTCGGCATCCCACTGCCGGACATAAAGAATGCAGTGTCGGAGCAGACCACGGCCTGTTTTGAGCCCAGTTTGGATTATATTGTCACCAAAATACCTCGCTGGGATCTGGACCGCTTCCACGGGATGTCTCGGGAGATCGGCAGTGCCATGAAGAGTGTTGGAGAGGTGGGAGTTGCCATGGCGACTGAACACTGCTGCTTTCTAACACAGATTAAAACTAATCCAGAACCAAATTATGATTTTGATCCTTCGTTGCCAATTTTATTTATGTCTGTATCACGGTTAATTCAGTGCTGTTGACTTACAGAAATAGAAAGACTTCTGTCTCCAACCTCTAATTTTCCTCCCCTCACAGGTCATGGCAGTTGGCCGAACCTTTGAGGAGAGCATCCAGAAGGCTTTGCGTATGTGCCACCCCTCAGTGGACGGCTTTGTACCGCGTCTGCCTCTGAAAAGAGCCTGGGCAGAGCAGAGAGACCTTCAGCGAGAGCTATCGCTGCCTTCAAGTACTCGTATCTTCTCCCTCGCCCAGGTGTGACCCAGAGCATTAAGAGAAGTGCATTAGTGTCTAGATGATAGATTCTAATTGTGTTCGAATCAATATAACAGCCATGTTTAATTCAGGCTCATGATTTATGAATCAATGAGACAGCAGTTTTTACATCTGTCCTAACCCTTTGTGTCCAGGTTAGATAGTGTTTATACTCTACCATATAGAAGTTTGGGGTCAGTATGTTTTATTATTATTAAATTTTTTTTTAAAGAAATTAATACTTTTATCTTTTATTCAGCAAGGATGCATTAAATTGATCAAAATTACTGTACAAATATCTATAAATGCTATTCTTTTGAACTTTATATTAAAGAATCCTGGAAAAAATGATTCATGGTTTCCACAAAAATAGTAGGTTTCAAAACTGTTTTCAATATCGATAATACAAATAAATGTAAGAGTAATGTAAATGTAATGGCTGATGAAAGCTTCACCATTCAGCTTGACCATTACAGAAATTAATTACATTTTAAAGTAATCTATTGAATATTTAAATAGATTATTTAAAATTGTAACAATTTCATAATATTACTGTTTTTTTTTTGTTTACTGTATTTTAGTCAAATACAGCCTTGGTGACATTAAAAATATTCAGAAACATTTAAAAAAATGTACTGACCCCACACTTTTGAAAGGTAGTTTAATTGATTGTGTCCTGTTTTAGCTAAAATTATCTGGATACAATTTTATAATACTATAAAAGTTTACTAAATTTAATGCAATTAACTATGATATATTCATCAGAGTTGATTCCCGAGCCAAAGAAAATGGCAAAACTACTTTAGGAGATAGTAATTCAGTGCAAAAGGTCGGGTAAATATCCTTTGGGAGTATAAGATCATGTAAACCTTAATTTTAAAGAATTATTTTATGAAATCCTTGATTCTGATTGGTTAGTCACAGAAGTTTGTGGTCAAATATTTTTGTTTTGTAAGACCACTTAAGTGTAGAATTATCCTATTGTCACCGATTTCCTAGGTTCTAAGTGAACTGTTTCCTCTCTATTTTTCTGTTTACATTTAAATCAATGTTTTGTGTCAATGTGTGTGCAAAATAAACCCCTTCAGGTTGATACAACACCCCTCCGTATCTCCTGGGCATTCATTAAAAATTAAAATGACCTGTCTGCCTGAAGAGAAAACAGCCTACTTTTTGTCAAAATATGTGTCATGTGAGTGTCAAATGAACACGTTGATGTTGGCAGATTTATTAAGGAATAATAGGGCAAATCCTATCAAGACATGAGACATCAATAACTCTCAAGGTTGGTCTCGCTTGTAGTACTGGATGTGACTTTGATGTTAGTCTCCAGGCACATCATTTCATTCAGAGCAGGTTATGCCTCCTATTAAGCAGACAGGCTATTAAGTGCTGTGTCCCGATTGGCCAGGAGCCCGTCTATGGCAACAGCCAGTTACAGCTCATTGGGCTCTGCTCTGTATTCAAGGGACACCACAGGCTAACAGCCAACAATCAAGAGCCATTATTTCTCATTTAACAATGACCCAACAATTTCTTGTAGATCACAATCATTTATTAGAAAAGCCTGTTTATGTTCATGCCATTTATAGTATTGCATGCTGATTTGAGGCATTATGTTGATTGTTCTGTTTCTCAAGGCCCTTCACAGTGGTGTGACCGTTGATCAGATCCATGACCTCACTGCCATAGACAAATGGTTCCTGCACAAACTGAAGCACATTACTGCGATGGAGCAGCTCCTGGGTCAGTATAACAGGTGAGAGACTAACAAATACATTCAGACACGCATAACTGATATTAATAGACAGAACTGCACACCGCTTGACCATCAAACTTAAGTACACGGCAGCAAAATTAAAAAGTTAATCACTTTTTTTCTGTATTCTTTTTTGAAAACATTATTATTGGTGATAGTCAGAGAGAGCTGGTATGTATTAAAGTACAAGAGGGTAAATATCATATTACTTGTCAAGATCATATCCCGATCACTGGAAATGAATATTTTGCCTGTTGAAAATTAAGCCCATTTTATTTCATTTCATTGCATTGCATTACAGCAATTATATAACAGATAAAATAACTAACACATTTTATTACTGTAATTCTAAAGCCATTCTCATTAGTATAATGCGGTATTTACATTACAATACCTTTCTCCCCATCCTGGCACAAACGGCTCGATTTGTTCCGGGTTTGATGAAGGCCCGCCTTTCTGAAAAACGAAATGTGATGTGATTGGTTAGCTGTGCCAGTGCGTTGTGATTGGCGAACAGCTTAGATGGTGTTTTATTACTGCCCCACCCCTTGCCAAAGCAGCAATTTTCGTCTGCTCTGGTAGTTAAGGATGGCGTCAATATTGACGTATCAGTCTGAGCCGGATTCAGACCCAGAGGTACGGATATTGCAAGACATTAGAGTGGTAACGGTATTGTGTTTTTTTTTTTGTGGCTAAATCACGTTTTAGATAGGATGTCAACAACCGCTTAAAAATAACTGCATTTACTATGTACAGAAAAGTGCATATGTATTATTTTATATTGTTATTTAATTCTAACATTATAACATAAATTTCGGTGAAACTGTTATACAGTTGAATTTATTTATTTACCATAGTCCAGTGTTCCTCAAGCAGCATATATATATATATGCAAACTCATTCTCTGCCAGCAGGTGGCGCTGTTGGAGTGGCAGCACTCCGCTCAAAAAAACACTGCTTTATCAGACATTACATGCAAGATTAAATGAAAATGACATCCAATTTTCGGTTTCCTTCAGAAATACAGTGATATAAAAACACCCGCACTCAATGTATGGGAAACACTGTAGTCTCATAATTGAAGTGTAAATTCTGCAGATTACATAATTGTCCAGCAATTTATTATAAAAAGTTTTCATAACTGTAACATACATATTTACATACATAATTATTCAGGTGCATGACAGTGTAATAACTTGCTAAGACTTGAGGCTACAGCAGCACTTCTTCTTCATCGTCTTGTCTGATGCACTCAACCAAACGTTCTAACCACGACCTCACCCCTCCCCACCCCCCAACCATTCAAATTTCTGTAGGCGGGAATTATTTTAATGATATACAGAAACGCTGTAGTCCAAATGAGCCGTTCGTTGTAGTTCTTGAAAAGGGATTTAAAAAAAATGAAATATCTCCCTTTGGAGTGGACTTTGAGATTTGTAAGTTTGAAGATCTTTTTTATGCCCAAACATACACACTACACACTGACTAAAATTCAAAACGTGAAAAAGCATAATAGGACCCCTTTAAAAATGGCTGTATTACAACAAAAGAAAAATGTCTGGATGCATTATAATTATGAGAATTTGGGATAAAAAAAAAATAGGTTTAGTTGTAAAACATAACGCTTCAATGCAAAATATCTTAATGGTTCTATAAATATCAAAATGTCATGCAAAATCATTGTGTAACAATGCATAATGCATTAATATACAGGATCTTGATTCTGATCGGTCGGGTGCAATTCAGGGGCAGTCATACATTTTTGTTTAATGACCACTGAAGTGTATAATTGACTGGTTGTTCCTGACAACCAATTTCCAGTGCTTTGCCTACTTCTCAGATTCACTCAAACCATATTCTGATAGAGCACTTGCTCAGAGTATAGCTTAAAAGCATAGCCACCGTCTAGAGCCAGGGTACTCCACAGGACTGCTTCATGCTGAAGGATAGTGTATTTTTATTACAATTTGTGCTCAAAATATTAGGCAGTTTGATTTTAAGTAAATATATTTATTATATTATTAATTAAATGTAGCATTGTCCAACAAAAGAGGACATTTAATAACATGATTTTACTCAACATCAACATCAGTCAAGTGTTTAAAATGACTTTATTTTGTGATCTGATGTGTGCTTTTTGTCACAGAACGAGGCAGAAAATATTCAATAGTGTAATAAAGGCTATGTCGATTAGCATTGATTATAAATGTACTTTATTATTATGAAAATACCAGAGATGGCTTGAAGAACACAGATAAACCATGTTGTCATGTCGTTTTTTTTTTTTCATATGTGGAGTTTCTGCGTGCCAGTATGATGTATGAATGAAACCGTTTACATGTGTTTAGTGTTCGGTGATGTGCACTCCGCCCTTTATTTGGGCTTAAATATGAAAAATAATACTTCAAGGAAAGAAATTTGTGAACTATATTTGCTCAAGAATTTTTTAAGTTTTAGCATTTGGAGTTTGTTCATTTCACTGTTTGAGTATGAAGGCATTTTTTGCATCAATATAGCAAAACAAACTTTTAATCCAATTTTTTGTTTCAGTTTTTATTTTTTTTCATGTTCAGTATTATTTTAAATAGGACAAGGACAAGGCCCTTCACATTTTATGTGGTTTAAATGCAGCCCGCTTGGCCTCTGAACTTGAGTACCCCTAGTCTAGAGCATAATCTGAGCTCGAGCTTGTTCTGTAGTTAAGGACTCAAAAATCTGAGATTGAACCTTCAGGTTTTCAGTTAAAACTCTGATATTTAACCAATAGACTACTTTCAGGTGAGCGCTGACCTCTTTAAGCACAGTATGGTGTGAAGTCTCCCATTTGGTGCATGGGATAGTGAGGACTGGTTGTCTCTGTCCATTGCTACTGACACTCTACTGTCTCACACTCCTGCTGGTTTTAATGCTCTTTACTTTAATAAACAATGGTCAGATTTAAACCCGGACCAGTACATATACTGAGGGCTTGCTGAGTTTTTTGAGCTATTTTTTATATGAGAATAGATCAAAGAGTTTTAATCACCTGAATTGTTTTATGTCCATACAGAGCTTATAAAAAATGAATGTTAAGGAAGAAAAATCCACAAGTTTTGATTCCAGTTCTCTTTGATCTTTGTTCAAATGTTGTATTTATTTAAAAATAAGTATTAAGCATCTTTAGCCAGGATTTTTCTTTTTTGATATTTTCTTTCCTTCAATGTACACTGAAGCTTGAACTTTCTGATGATCAAAGGTTCACAGTTTGCTATTTATCTTAAAAAAAATTTTCCTCTAATGATTTTGCATGTATTTACAAAAAAAAACAGCTTAGAAAATGCTCTGTAACCAAGCAGTACAGTGAAATAAATAGTTAATATTCTAAGTTTTAGGGTCAGCGCAAACTGTATGTCTTGATGAGTTTCTTAACCCATTTTCCGCCCTCAGCGCCACAGTGCCGAGAGATCTACTTCTGAAGGCCAAGATGGATGGTTTCTCAGACCGACAGGTTGGCCAGGCTATGAACATCTCAGAGGGAGAAGCTCGGGTGCTCAGGCTCAACCAGAACATCAGACCTTGTGTCAAACAGGTTTGAACCCATTGCCAGAAATATCTGTTTGATTATAATGACCTTTGCTTCATGATAAATGTTTCTTGTGCTTACTTTCAGATTGATACACTTGCTGCTGAATACCCTGCAGCCACCAATTATTTGTATTGCACTTACCATGGTCAGGTAAACCACTCTGTCCAACCTTTATATAGGGTCTTTGATGGTTGAAGCATCGAGCATTTTGTCCAGTTCCCCGTCTAGACTTTTCCACAGTATTTTTCTAGACAATTTTATTACACAAGAGAAACTAAGGGAAAGCTTTAGTAGCATGATTGTTAACATTTACAGTATTTGTAAACCATTAGAGCACCTAAATGCACAATACAGAAAATAAATAAGGTGGATTTAATAAATAAATAAGTTGAAAAGGGAAAATAAGATTAAAAAAAAATTATTTGATCTAAAATTATTTAAAATTATTACAGTTGTTTAATTTAAAATTAATTAAACAAAAACCCCCCCAAAAATCTGTAAGTAAAATTAATAAATTTAATACAGTTTTGAAATTCATTGTGGAAGTTGGCACTTGTGACATGACGTGACATAAAATAAAATTACACAATTCATTATGAAGATTGGAGCTTGTAGTATATGTGTGAGGATGAACCCAATTTTGTTTTGTCCTTCTAACAGGAGCATGACTTGGATTTTAAGGATCGTGGTATCATGATTGTGGGTTGTGGTCCGTATCACATTGGTGAGATCAAATCTTTTTTACCTAATCATCCTCAGATTTTCATTTCACCAACACATTCATGTATTATCTTCGTTAGTTTTAATGAGCAATTAGTGCAAGAGTGGGTCAGGGCAGTGTTTCACTCTACCCCTCCACAGGCAGCAGTGTGGAGTTTGACTGGTGTGCGGTGTCAAGCATTCGTGCCCTTAGACAGATGGGCAAGCGTACAGTGGTGGTGAACCATAACCCAGAGACGGTCAGTACGGACTTTGATGAGTGTGACCGTCTGTACTTTGAGGAGTTAACCCTGGAGCGCATCCTGGACATCACACAGCAGGAGGTGAGAGGTCAAAGTTCAGCCTGTGCACCTGGTGCCTTTAAGTAACTGAAAGGTATTATTCACTTTCATATTTGACAAGGACATTATGATATGGCCCCATTTCTGAAAATTGTATTGTAAAGTGAAGAGTTCTTGATCTAAAATCTGATTGGTTGAGTAAGGCTAAGTTATTGTGATTTATTATTACCAGTACATGTAATTATTTGAAATGCGTCTTTTGCTGGTATTTAAAAAAAAAAACATCTTGAAAAGTAAACTTTGTCAATACATTTGTTCTAGCTTGCAGAGCTTGACAAAGCTTGGTTTGTGTCACCATTGTGTTGTTTAAAAATCTATTTTTCATAAAGGAATACTGTAGATGAAGTTTTTTTTACATTTTGATTGTATACTATGAGAAAACCATAAAAAAATAGAACAGACTGAAGGACTGTGTCGTGTTTGGTGCAGTGTTATTTTACCCTAGTAAAAAAATCGTATGCCATAATTGATTTAAAATACATTTATTTCATACTAAGTACAGTGTAAACATAAAATCCATTAACATATTTATTGACATATCACATAAGACTTACTGATATAAACATTATTTGCATTGTTTCTTCATCGCACAATGCACATTTCTTAATATTATTCCTAAAATGTTTTATCACTATTTATAAGGATTGCATGATCTCTGTATATCAGTCTTTATAATTTTTTTAAATTGTTAACAGTAGCACTGGTTTGGTGGACATAATTATTTACATGGTTAAATATTTTGACATTGTAGGGAAATAGTATTGTTCCAATAATAGCACAGGCATTGTAAAGCCTAATATGAAGCGTATGCATTGACGTTATAGTAAACCTATTTTTGTTCACCACACTTGCGTCCCAAAAAATGTTGCTGATCTTATCAGGCTGCCTGTTACCATTTTTGAGCTGTAGAAATAGATTTTCCCCCATTTTGTTCCCTGCCTCATAAGAAATAACCTGCTTAATACAATTTTCCAATCTCCCGTTATCTTGTGTCTGAAAGTATATAAGAGTTAATGTGTTCTTTTTTTTTCACTGTTGAAAAAGTAGCAGTGTCCTTTATAAAACCGGCAGCAGACAGTCTGTAGAATGCGAGCAATTCCTCATTTTCTTCTGTGATGTTCAGCAATGTGTGACTGTAGACAAGAGCCGACTGGTCTTAATATGAATATCACAGCAGGACTAACTCCACTGCTGCCGCCACTAGTGTTAGACTGTTTATGCAGCCAGTGCTATACAAACAACATCATGTGTTTCCACTGCATATGAATTCTTTAATGCCTGGACTGGCATTTTAAAATCTCATCACATTTTGAAAGTGATATTCAAGCACAACAGTGATGGTACACATTTTCAGCTGTATTGCTTCTTGAAGTAGTTTTCCCATTCTTTTTCTTCATAGGCATTTCAAAAGGAATCACAACATTACAGCATTTGATTCTACGCATTAAATGTTTTTGAAAACCAGAAAAATAGATATGCTATGTTCAGAATAGCGTACTACTATTCTGTATTATTCTTGCCGTAAATGCTGGTATGGTATGTTTGCTGGCATGTTACAGCATGCAGATCCAAAAATACAATACGATAGATAGTACAGTATACTGTTAATAGCTTTAAGTTATTAACACTATAACCATTTTTAGGGCTGCATGATAATGAAGAAAAATATGATATGTGATAACTTGTTAAATAATATGAAATGCTGTATACAATGCTGTAAGTGTGTAAAATACATTGAAATTATATTTAAAAAGTGATATAAACAACATTGATGACTTATTTCCTCACACTGGTTTGCTATGCAAATGCATATTGTGATTTGTACATTTGCGATTATTTGCAACATTTTTATATATAATACGTACTCAGCAGCCCTATACTCATGTCATTTGAAAAGTTTTCTGGGAATGAGCAGTCGCTGCCAAGCTGAGTGTGTAAAATACATTGAAATTATATTTAAAAAGTGATATAAACAACATTGATGACTTATTTCCTCACACTGGTTTGCTATGCAAATGCATATTGTGATTTGTACATTTGCGATTATTTGCAACATTTTTATATATAATACGTACTCAGCAGCCCTATACTTATGTCATTTGAAAAGTTTTCTGGGAATGAGCAGTCGCTGCCAAGCTATTTTGCTGCAGTTCTGTTTCCACGGTAACAAACTTCTGTGATTGGTCATTCTTCAGTATTTTGTGAAGAGTAGTTCTTCACCGGGATTTTGGCAATTAAAAAAATTGTTAAAGTTGAAATCACACTGCTACAGAATCATATACCATCACTTAAAGGGGTCATTTGATGCTGCTAAAAAGAACATTATTTTTTGGGAACATTATTTGGGTTAAACTGTTCTGGAACAGTGTTGTAAATACAACTTAACCACTGATTTCTAGTCGTATCCTCTTTTGAAAGGCCGAACAAAGTAGTTTCACTTTCACAACGAAACAACGTAACACACACCGTGGCCTTGAGTGAGCGGAGGCCGGAGGCCTAGAGTGAGCGGCGGCCTCGAGTATGCGGATTCATTTGCTTGAGTGAGCAGAGGCGGGCGGGCTTGAGAACGGCGCGGCTGGTGGTATATCGTCCTCTTTTGGAAGGCCAACCAAAGTAGTTTCGCTTTCACAACGAACGTCTCGGGTTACTTATGTAACCATGGTTCCCCGAGTAGGGAGCGAGACACTGCGTCCTCTAGGGGTCTCTAGGGGTCGCTATGGGGGACGCCTCGTCGTGACCCGTGTCTGCATGTGGGTGCGTGTTAGAACGAGCCGTTTTAAGTAGGCATGGTTGACTTAACTTTTATAAAGAATATCTCTTTGGATTTGAAACTTTAGTCTTTGCAACTTTACAGATCTTCTTTATGCACCAAGAGCTTGTAACACTCCAAAGAGAAAGGAAAAACTGAAATCGCATCATATAACACCTTTAACAACCTCTGGGTGAAAAGATTCAAATTTATATTGTGAGAATGTTCTCTATACAGAGAAAATAATGCTGTTTTATGCAGCTTCAGACCTAGATGCCATTATCTCAAGAGACTAACCAGGAAATGCCTCTATGCATCTAAGCGGTGTGTGGTGAGCTAATTTCTATTCCCTTTATAGAGATGGAGCCACTAAAGTCTTCACTGACGATGCAAAATCTGACCTCTTTAACAGCCATTGACTTTTCCATTCAGACACATTATAAGCTAGTTAAAGTGATGATTAAAGCATGGGTTGATCAAGTGTTTGTTGTTATGCTCAGAGGTTGTAATAAATTCCCAGGTGCTGTGTAGCGGTTTATTACCATCACGTTAGCGTGCTCTGATAAACCTGGAGGGAACCGTGTATGAATGTTGAAGTGCGCATACATGTGGTTGCTATCGTAACGTGATGAATGGGATCAGAAGATATATGACCGCTCTCAGACCGTAAAATAATGCCATGTCATGTCCCAGGGTCAGCTCCTGGGTCCACAGCTCATCCTTGAAACGGAGAGAAAGACAACATCAGCGGATGAGAGTCTAGATTGAGCAATGCCAAATCATTGTGAATTCATGCAATGAATGAGAAATGATTATAGTCATTTCTGTTCAAACAGCACTCGGATTAAAAACTTTGCTTAAAATTTTTTTCTGTCGTATTAGAGGATGAAACAATCCTTATTGAATTCATAAGTAGCTCTATTTGTAGTCTTTGGTCATGGACGGATACAATCAGTCATATGTTAAATTGTAGAGTTGAAACTGTAATTATAAAAAGCACTTGTCATTTGGTAGATGTATGATTACTGAAAGGAATAATTGGGCTTTATAGAAATATTATAATGAATGCCTATTGACAGTAATTTTGTCATGGTGTAGATTTATTACAGACCATTTAGTCTCCGTCAGTTTGTAAAACAGGACAGGATGTGCATTTACAGTGCATACAACGAAAGCAGAAATTTAAAACAGAAATGTAAGCTTTTTTGTCAAAGTGCGTCAATTTAGGCAGTAAAAACTTTATTATTTGAGCTGTAAGATTGTCTAAATACAGTAGTCATTTTCACTGGTGGATCAATGCCTTTGTGTCGCAAAGACTAAGGTGGGTCTCAATTGCACCATGTAAATGCACTACTACTACTACACTACTATTCAAAAGTTTGAGGTCAGTAAGGGTTTTTGTAAACAAATTAATACTTTAATTCAGCTAGGATGCATTAAACTGCTGGAAAGTGACAGTAAAGACACACTGTTACAATAAAAATTCTGTTTCAAATAAATTGTTCATTTGAACTTTTGAACTCTATTTACCAAAGAATCCTGGAAAAAATGAAGCTGCACAACTGTTGTCAATTGCAATAATAATTAGAAATGTTTCCTAAGCACCAAATTAGTATATTAGATTTCTAAAGTGTCATGTGATGCCAAAGACTGGAGTAATGACTCCCGAAAATTCAGCTTTAAAATATTTTAACCCCTTTTCAAGCTCCCCACATTTTGGCAAGGCGGGCATAAAGGACATACCCAAAATAGAGACAATAGCCAATGCCTGAGAGTTTACGGATCGTGAATTACTCTGACTGTTATTAATATGGAGGTATATAGGTTCAAACTTAAAGGGATACTCCACCCCAAAATGAAAATTTTGTCATTAATCACTTACCCCCATGTTGTTCCAAACCCCTAAAAGCTTCGTTCGTCTAAGGAACACAATTTAAGATATTTTGGATGAAAACCGGGAGGCTTGTGACTGTCCGATTGACTGCCAAGTAATTTACACTGTCAAGGTCCAGGAAAGTATGAAAGACATCGTACCACTGGACGCAAGCAGCGTACGCTCTTCTGTGTCAGCTGCACTGCACGGATGTGCTATTTTCGTTCAAATCAAAGTGTAAATACACATAGAAAACATATCCTTGTTTCGCGGCTGACACAGAAGAGCGTACACTGCTTGCATTCAGCAGATATTCTCCAAAATGGCGCTACAGTGATGCGGAGAGGAAGAAAGGAAGTC